GACGTATTAAATGAGAAAATTAAGCACGCCTCAATAGCTCTGTCGGTAGTGGACCTGTAAGATGTGAGCGAAAGCTCCTACATAGCAATAACTGTCCAATGGATGCAGGCTCTATGCCTGCTCATAGCTAATTTATCTCTTAATATTGCAAAATATTTATTTATTTATAATTAAAAATTCAGAGCTAAAAATTGAAGAAATTATATTAAAACTAATTATTGTCAAAAATAAAATAGATTTAAACGTCTAAAACGTTTAAGAAAAGAAATTAAATATATTGGGACTATCGAAAGACATTTATTTAAAAAAGAGGGAATGAAAAATTTAGCAAAATTAATTAAGAAATTAAATAAAAATGAAAATGGCAATTTAATTTTGAAAAAATTTTATTTGGAAGAAAAATGGGAAATAGAAAAAATGTGTGAAGATTTTAGAAAAGGATTATCAGTAACTGAACATGTAAACTATCAATTATTATTAGAAAAGATATCATATAAAAATATTATTTAATTGTGCAAAGTTAAAATAAGTTAGGATACAAAGATTAAGATAAATAGAAGAGAATGGAGATTGGATTCGGGCTGGGAATATCGTACTATCTCGATCAAAATAACCGAGACTTTTTTTTTCAAAATCTCGGTTCGGTTCGATCTCCAGTGGAAAGGCATCGTCACGTTTTTAGCGTCACATTTTTGGAGGATTCACAAAAATCAGAAATCCTGATGTATTTTGGGTGGGATCCCGATTTCTGGAACTCGTGGATTTTGGTTATTTGTCCGCAGAACTCCTGACATTTAAGTAGAATAAATCAAACAATTTGTCAATAAATTAGTTAAAAAAACTTTGCACAAAAAATTAACAAATCCGTGATTAATATTTTAACAATAAAATCTATTTATGTAGCAAAAACATATAGAAGAATATGGTGATTTTTTGAATGTTAAATATTTCTTGGATTTACTTCAATTTTGTGCCACAATTAAGAGAAATTATAACGAATATAAACAAGTATTGGATAAATATTGTAAAAATGATATATTACCCAAAGCTAGGGAAATATTAAATTATGCTGGGACCGAATACAAATTTGGAAAATTTAAAATAAAAATAGATAAAAATAGAAAAGAAGGACCTTTCATTAAATTAATTAACAACATATTTCCATTTCTTAATAAAAAAGAAAAATTAGATAAGATAGAGGATTGGTTAGAAGAAGAAGAGAATTTTATTGAGGAAAAAGTAAAGTTTTATCCATTAAAAAATAAACTTGATACAATTATTGAGGAGGTGAAAGATGATGAAATTGAAGAATTAAATAATTAAAAAATAATTTTTAAAATAATCCTTACTTTTTTTAAAAATTCATTGAATATTTTTATATACTACTTCCTAAAAAATTTCATTTAAGCAAAACCCATTATTCAAAAAAATTTAATATTTTTGAAAACTCAATAAAAGTAAGAATTTTTATTAGTTGAATAAATTGAATAACGGTAATATTGAATAATGTTAATAAAAATTTTGTTAAATGATTTGATGAATTCATTGATTTAAAAACAATAGGGTGCGTGTCTTCTATTAATTAAAATTTAATAAATTAAGTTCCAAGTTACCACCCACTTTTTTGAGTATAAAAGTTTATCCTATTATAAATACACTCAATCTAAAAATTATTAAACTAATAAATATTCCCTATGAATCAGTTAATAATGTCTCGCAGAAACCTCATTTTTAAAACTCATTCGTTCTTTAATTTTTAATCTCGAACAAAATTTTCTAACGTATTTTTAATTTATTTTAATGTTCTTTAGTTAATGTTTAATCTTCTCAAAAAAATTTTATAATAAAAAAATAATAATATTTACGTAAAATTACTAAAATTAAAAACATTCTTTAATAAAAATTTCGTACTTTCATTAAAAAAAAATATCGCCAAAATTAATAAAAAACAATAAATATGTATAACAAAACTTGTTCAATTTAAAAGATTGAGAGAGCAATTTGAGATAGAACGATGGGGTTTACAATTAAAGTGCAATTTCCCTCAAACAATTATTTTTCTTTTTGGCCATTTTAAATGTTAAGAAAAATAAGAAAAAAATTTTTTCTTTCCTAAAAACTTGTATATTTTTAAATTAAAAAATAACATTCCTCGACTTATGTTATTAAAAAATTTAATTTAATTAATAAATTTAATAATCATTGTCAACTCTCGATATAACAAATATTAAGGGCCAAAGAATTTTTGTTTGAGGGTTTGAAAAATATCAGGAATAGGTATTATCTTGTCTGTTCCAATTAAAAATCTATGATTGATTTTTAACTTTTTTGTTTTTGTTTAGTAAATTGAAAACAAGAGATTTTGAAAAATTTAAAGCTTCCTATCATTTCAGTAGTACATATATGTATTTCAGCGGAAATAAATGAAAATAAATGTCGTAATAAAATTTTTTTATCTCGGTTTCAATATTTTGATTGAGTTCTAAGCATTTTTTTCTTCAGGAATATTTCTAGTTGGTCTTGGACCATCATTATTTAGAATTTTAGATTGTGATACACATTTTTTAAAATTTTAGAGTCTCGAAAAAGCATAAAATTTATATAATTAAGCTAACAATGATTTCAGAATAAAGGGTGTCAAGTTCGAATCATAAGCCCCAACTATGTAAAAATGTTGTGATTCCAACTTCATAATTGAATAACAAAAACAAATATAGGTATCAGTAATTATTTAATTAATAAAAGTAAATAATCATTTATTATTTATTATTCATACTTTATTATACCTATTCATTATTTTATAAATTTTTTGCGCCGTTTCTTAAAATTTCAACTTTCTATTACATTTTTAAAAACTGGTTGTTCGTGATAAAATTAAATTTTTGTTTTCATTTTTTGCAGGAGAGAACAAAGAAGATAAACTTATTTTTAGTAAAATTTATTTTCATTCTGACTAATTCATTCGCCTAACAATTGATAAATTAACTTTTAATTTTATAAAAAATTGATCTTCTTGAGGCTATTTTAAATTAGTTATTTAAATTTTAAATAACAATTTATTAACTGCACTTTTATTTTTTGTGTACACCTACAATTAATAATTTAAACACTTAAACAAATCGTACTAATAAACTTATAATATTCGATTAATTAATGAATTTTGACCTTTTCTTGACATTTAAAATTATATCTATTAATTTTCTTTAATTTCAAAATTCAATTTTATGAAAATCTATTGCTATAGCATCCGATTTTTCATGTTTTTTTAATAATTTGAAAATTAATTAGTAAATACATAATTGTTGGGAGGGGGTACGACTTGTTTAAGATTTAAAATTATATTTATTAATTTGTTTAAGAAGCGAAATTTTTGATATTTCTTGCCAAAAATATGCCGTTTTTATGAAATTTTCAAAAAAAAAATTTTTTGAAATGAGCAATTGAAAAATTCCCCCAGAATAAAACGGATACTAAACTAAAACTCAAAAAGAAACCCCGGTTTTTGAGATTTGTATTAACAAAAAATCATGGTAAGGGTTAATAACTGATTGTGTCCAATCCTAATAATTTTTACTGAATAATATTATTTTTCTTAAACTTCCTTTTTAAATTATTTTTTAATCGCCTTTAAAAATTAATTAGTTAAAAATATTTTATTAAACAATGTAAATGTAATTTCATCTAAATAATTAATCATATTTATAATTTGGAACAAGATTTTAAAAAATTAATTAAAGTTAATAAAAAATAAATAAATATTTATTATTTATTTTAATAAATAAATAATTTATTTTTTAGCTTGTTTATGAGTTTATCATCTTTATTTCGAAAAATTGGTTTCATAGTTGGCAAAAGACCCAAAACTGTTTTTTTAACAAATTTATTTTTATTCCTTCCATCATTATCTTATTATTTACTTAATGACATTAAAGTAGAAACTGATGTAAGGAGAGGGTTTTCCCCTAAAAATGGAAGGGCAACAAGTGAAACAAAGGTAGAAATTATAATTTAAAATTTTTCTCAATTTAGAGTATACCTTTACTTGGAGTACATAGACCTTTTCCATTTTCTAGAGTGACGGTGTCGGATATCCGAAATCAGAGCTTGATTATGGGAATCTGTTGAATATTCAGTGGTTACTTTTAATACCTCGTACCCCTCCTAATTTGAATTCATTTATATTTCCATCTTCATGTATATCATTATTAACAAGTGAAAATAAAAGTCTGGAACATTAATGAAGAATGAAAGTATAACTGAGACTCATAATAAGGCTGAGATGGGATATCCAAGAGTACCATCCGGAGATTCCCCAGGGACCGTCAACCTCTCTGGTTCTTGTCTGACTAAAATAGGCCCGAGTTAAGTCATTTGAACTAATCATAGTCCAAAACATCTTTTTTTGTATTTCAATATTGGGCCGATCTTCTTCACATTTTCTGAAAACCCATATACTTATTAAAATTAAAAAATGTAAAATAAAAAAATTTTTTATTTGCAGGCATTTGCTGAATTTTATAATGTCTCTATAGACGGAGTAGATCTTGTTTTGAACTTTTTGGAACCAAAAACTTCAGACAAACGCTTGATTATGAATGATAAATTGCTTTCAGATGTGGAGATTTTAGATCGTTATATAAAAGAATTTTCTTTGGAAATTAATTTTGAGGGGCTTTCTGAAGGAAATAATAATAGTCAAAGAGTTGTTCGCTTAAAGGATTTTGAGGTTTTTTCAATAATTTATATGCTTAAATAAATCCCCTCTCCAAAAAGAGGACCACTAAAATAATTACCCCTACCCAGCGTGAGGTTAAACTATAGCCACTTAAGAATAGTTATAGCTAGGGTGCTCTCAGATGCGATATTTCCTCGGATACCGCTTCCTCCACATTTCCCCCTCCCCCCGTTGAGAGGGTGAAACACTAATTACTCGTGATATTTATACGAGCTAAATAATTAACTAAATTATTGTATTTAATTATTAGACCAGCAAAGGTGATATGAATTATCTTTTTCACGCATTTAAATGGGCATATCAATTACAAAGTACATCGCTTTTATTAACATCAAAATTAAATAAACAAATTAATTTGGACTTTCCAATATCTCAAATTTATGGTTTTGAGGTTCCTTTGGATTCTCATTTTTTTGGTGTTAAATTAAGGCAAGGAAACAATTCAGTGAAGTTTCCTTCAAAAATAGAATCTGTGGAAACTATTGGAATTTAGTAAAAAATTTACAAAAAATATTCCTTAATTAATTAATTTAAAGTTATTTACTTGATGGAAACAATAAAAATAAAAATCAAATGGAAATATTAAATAATTTGGAATTAAAATTGTTTAATAATATAAATAATGGAGATTTGAAGAATTTAACTTTCAAAGTTTTAATTTATACTGATCAATTAGCTAATTATGAAATGATGAGGGGTGCTAAGAAGATTACAAGTTTGTTGGGCATTGGGGTGGTTGCAATGATTTTATTTTTGGTTGTAGCTTTTTGGCATTTTAATTGGAAATCTCAGGCAATTTTTTATAAAACAATTAACCAAGAAATAATGCATAGATCAGGGAACAAGCTTCCCGTTTCCTGAAATTTTTTTGAAAAATCGAGAATTATTAACACAATATCTGGTGACCTCGGCTTCCAAAATTCTCAAAATTTTTGCCTGCGGCGTAATGAAGAAAGATTTATCGGTATATGGGAGAATTTGCATGGATTAAGATGGATTGGAGTTATAATTGAGGGGATTAAAAGGGATATGGAGAGATTTGGGCGTGATAAGTGTATCAAATTACCTGAGACGGAGTTAGGATATCAAAAAAATATTTTTTATTCATTTAAGTTCATTTTAATTACTTCTTCATTACTTTCACCTCTTTTATCCATTTCTGTTGCTTTTTCAATTATTGGATGGATTGGAATTAAATTTAATTCAATAATGCCTATAATGCCGTTTCTCGTTTTTGGTATTGGGGTGGATAATGCTTTTTTATTAATACATTCTTGGAGGAAATGGGCTTTGATTGAACAAAGCGAATTAAATGAGAATGAAGAAAGTAATCAAAAAATAGATAAAAATTTAATATTAATAGTATTTGTTAAAAAACAAGGCGATTATGCTGGATGGTAACAGAAACATGAACCCGGACTCACCAATTTTTGTCATTTTTTCGACCCAGAATTATTTAAGACCTAATCACTCTCGAATATAATGCCCACTTCTAGTAGAATGTTCCCTTGAACGGTGATTCCAACGTGGCATTCAACAATCCCCCTTCCCCTCCCCCATAATAAATACCCCCCCCCCCTCCAATGCCCCCACCTATAATAGAATACCCACTGTTGAATGATTGAAAATATAGTGCCGGAAATATTATTTTTTATTATTATCCGAGGCATTCAACTAAAGGCAAATAATTCATTTAGCATTACATGAAAACATTTAATTAATCCTCAAAATAATTTTTAAATAGTTACATTTGCTCAAAGAATGGCAAACGTTTTTGGAGAGATGGGTTCTTCTATAGCAATAACTTCTTTAACTAATGGAATTGCTTTTGGAGTTGGTATTTTCTCTCCATCATCTTTAATGTCCAATTTTTGTTTGTGTACTTCAATTGCTATATTTTTGGATTTTTTATTTGAATTTTTAATATTTGCACCTTGTCTCCCTTTTATTAAATGGAAAATTGAAGAAAACGAGAGTACAATAAAAGGAGAGAATTGGCCACTTTTTGGAATAATGAAATTGAGAAAGGAAAGGTGAAAATAATTTTCCTTGATTTAAAAGATAATATTATCTGCTTTGAAATTTATTATGAAAATATCATCATGCTCTATTCAATACAATTCATGAATATAGGATTATAGGATTTTTAGAGAACCATTCATGAATATAGGATTATAGGATTTTTAGAGAACCAACCATAAGGTTTCCTTCCAGTCTAACAAATAAAGCAAAAATAAATGAAGGGATGGTTGAAAAAAAAGTGCACAGGGGAGATGCACACATCCAACTCATCACTCCAACAAGCTCAGAGAGGGCCATCCAGCTCACTATTCGAAAGATTCGAATCAATGCCATTGACAATTTTTTTGAAAGGGATGGACATATGTATAATTTGCGTCGCAGTTTAACACCCTTGGCACATGACAGGCTACCTATCATCCACGCATCAGCTTTTAGGACTTGAATAAAATCTGAGTCAAAAAAAGGATAAAAAATATCTAATAATAATTATTATTAATCTTCAGACCTTCTTCTTTTTCTTCATCATTTCTACGTTTTTATTCAAAATTCCTCGTTTCATTTCGAGCTAAAATATCTATATTTGTGCTACTCTTCATCTCATATATTTTAGCATATTTTGGAATTAATCAAATGGAGACGAGTTTTATACCAGAAAGGACATTTCCTGGCGACTCTCCACTTCAGGATACAATCAAAATATTTAATAGAATTATGAAATATGTATGTAAAATATAATTTTAGAAAAATAAATATTTTTATATTTTTTAGCATTCTCCAATTTCTTTTTTTGTCTTTCATCCTCCAAATATTTCTGATCCTGTAGAATTAAACAATTTCAACAAGATGATTAATATTATTCAGAATTTGCCAAATACTTTGCATGTTCAAATATGGCTTAATGACTATTTGGAAGTAAGTTAGAATTAAGGAAGAAGAGGATGCAATAAGGAGGTAGGGAGGCGTTTAAAGAGGGATGGTGTGATGGAGCGACACGAGGATGGGAGTATGAGAGAGAACGGTGGTATAAGTAGGGAAGCAGAGAGGGAGAGAAGGGCAATGAAGGAGAGAGAGGAAGGGAGGGGGAAAACTGGGAGAGATGAAGTGGAAGGGGGTTGAAAGAGAGAGGGAGGGGGGATGGAAGAAGCAGGAGAGAGAAAAAGTGTGGGAGGATGAAAGAGGGTTGGATGGGAAAGGAAGAGTGGTGATGAAAGAGAGAGATGGAGGGATTTTATTATTTTAGAAGGAAATTAACAAAGTATTGTTATCCTTCTAACAAAAGTTATTTTTAGTATCACAAAACCAAAATAAATCTGAACAATTCCATTAATTACCAACCAAACTATTCTTTGGTTCCGAAATTTTTAAAAGAGAGAAGAATGGATGATAAGAGAATTGTACAATTTAGAGATTTTGGATTGTTAGTTTATCTTATATTTTCTGAAAATCACTTTTTTATTTAAAGAGGAAATATATCTGTTGAGAGTTTTGTTTTTGGAATTTCTCGTGGGGGTTAGTAAAATTATTCTTTTAATATTATCTTTTTCGTATAATTAAAGGAGATTTGAATTGGCTTGAAAGGGCATTTTTTGTTGATAAAATAAGACATATTGTTGATCAATTTCCAAAATTTAATGTTACGGTTTTTGATTATGATTCGACTATTTATGATTTAATTTTGGGAGTGAAGGTAATTATTAAGTTTTTATAATTTGATTAAAAAATAATTAGCCTGTGTAATCATTATTTCAATCCTCACAATAGGGGGATATTAATTGAGAGGGGGCAATTATTCGAGTTTTAATATTTGAGCGTGGATACCACTAAATATTATTCGAGGATACTCTACTAGAAATTTTTTGGGATTTTTATTAAAATTAAAAATCCGTAAGTTAAAAAAATCTGGACGCAGAATATCAAGTAGATCGGGCGAACCATCCAATGAAAATAGCAAAATTGAATGGTACCTGATTAACTGTTGATTTTCTGAACATGTCATCGCCGTAGTCATTTTCCCTACCTAATTGAGAGTGCAATGAGAGTTTGATCTTTTTTTCCTACCTAATTGACTGGGAGACGCGGCGTTCCAGGAAGACATTTTTGAATGGTGGGCCATCTATAAAAAGATGAAAAATGGGGTATCTGGATCTGAATGCTTGTGATTTTTATTCTAGATCTCATCTCTGTGCAATCGCTATCCTACCCCTTATATTTGGAAATAATCTGATAATTTATTCCCCATTTTATTTTCAAATTTTAGACTGAAATGCTCAAAGCAGTTTTTGTAACCTTAACATGTATGGCTTTAATATGTTTTTTCGTCATTCCCACATTACGATGTACAACAATTGCTACTTTTTCTGTTCTTTCAATTTCTTATAGTTAATAATTTTATGAAAATTTTAAAAATATTTTAAATTTTAAGCATTGTTGGGCACACTTGGTTGGTGTGGTCAAGACATTGACCCCGTAAATACTTAATAATTTTATTTAAATATTTTACCTATAAAGATATAGGCATTTATTTTAAGTTATATGTATTTCACATAGGGTCTGAGCAAGGAAGAGCTTTCCGGACCACTGGCCCGATTCCGGATCAAGGTTTTCAGGATCGCAGGCTGGATCCATGACAAAGGGTTTTCGGGCCACCGGGCGGCCGTTCCAAGTCAGGGTTTCCATGGTGTTGTAGACCTATGCTTGATAGACGCGTATCAAGTATTTTAAAATTTTGGTTTGCTGGTATAATGGAACATTATAAAAGAAAGCGATTTGAAAATGCAAAACCAATATCTCAAGTAATATCTTAAAAAAACTTAAAGGTTACAATGATCAATTTATTAATGGCTATTGGTCTTTCAGTTGATTTCTCAGCTCACATTTGTTATCATTTTGATATTTTACAAGAAAAACAAAAAGAAATTCAAACAGAATCTCCAATAAAAAATATTAAAATTTTTGAACAAAAAGAAATTGAAAAAAGGATAGAACAAATACTTGAAGTTGTTGGTAGGCCTATGCTTGAGGTATGAATTTTGATTTTAATTAAAAAATAACTTTAATTAAAGGCTGTTATCTCAACAATAATTTGTATTTTACCGCTTTTCTTTATCTCAATTGAAATTATTGCTTCGTTTGCTAGAACTGTTTTATTTTTAGGGTAATTTAATTTTTATATAAATGGATCTCGAACAAAATATATGTCCGTACTTGCAGAAAGAGTATATAAATGAAAATAAATAACCCTTCATCCGGTCATAGATTAAAGGAAATATCTGGTTATCAGGAGATTTGGAAGACTATCGTGATATCCGGAGTTTGATGTACTATCAGGATATCAGGAGATATGAAAGATATCGGTGAAGGATGCTTTTGGGGTTCGACTCTTTATGAGATTACTAGTCCAAATAATTGTTTTACCAATAAGTAGGCTTGTAAAATATTTTGATTTTTAGAACTAATCAAAAATAATTTCTTAACCCTAGATATGTATTCCTAAAATAAAAATTTATTTATGATTTACTAGAATTATTGGCACAATTCATGGTCTATTTATTGTACCAGTTTTACTAACATTACAAATAAATGGGTTGAAAAGGAAAAAGGCTGCTGGATTTACTAAAGGAAATTTATAAGTTTTTAAAATACATATGTGCATAGATTGTTAAATAATATTTTAAAAATAGTTTTTTTGAAATCTCGTTTTTTGACATTTTCTTTATTTTTAATTACCCTTTTTATTTTTAATTACCCTTTCATCACCGATTTCTAAAAAATGCCAAGAAGAAAACTTTACGAGAAATAAAAAATCAAAAAAAAACACGAGGAATAAATAACGAATTAAAATAAATTTTAAACATGAAATCATTCAGTTGAATGATGTAAACTAGAGACCGGACTTGAGTGATCGATCGATAATATCGGTATCGATCTCGAAAAATATCGAAAAAATCTAAAAATTTATCGATTGATAATATCGGTATCGTTTATCGATAATATCGACATCGATATATTGATATTTTTTTCGATATATTGTATCGGTCTGGTATCTAATGTAAACTAAAAATAACAAAATAAAATGAATATTTGATAAAAAAATTTTATCTTTGTTTTTGTTTGCACGTAATTTTTTTGAGTTTTAAATTTTTTATATTTTTTGTCATTTTCTGAAATTTTTTAGACCTAATTTTTACATTTATTGGTCCATAAATTTTTTGTCTTGTTCCTTGTATTTACCAATAGGTAACTAAATAATCTTCGCTTTTGTCTCAATCAGTAGCTTCATTATCTCCTTCATAAACGTTTGACGCTTCACCTTTTGAAAATTAACCAATAAAATTTTAATTTTATTTCTGATAAAAATATTATGGAAAAGTTAATTATATGAATAACGAAAATAATTACCTATACAAACAAATATATTCAGGGCTCATATTAATTTTGGAAATACGAGATTTAATTTAATTCAAATATTAAAGTTAGATTACGTTTTTCTATTCTAACATACCTTTTTTGCAACGTTTAAAATGACTTTTTAAATTCGACAAATATTTAGATGACAATTTCGTAGCGCATTTCTTACATATAACCTTATCATTCTCATGCTCTGTAAAATCATTCCAGATTGAAGAAGTTTTGCCTGTAATATAAATATTCTTTAATCATTTCTAGATTTAAAATATCTAGGCTAGTTTTGGTGCTGTGTGATTTCGCAGAAGTGACGTGGGCAGTAATTTCAAATTAATATTATAATTCAGAAATGTGGAGATCTTTAATCAAAGTTTATACATACGCAAAGTTTATACATTCGTCCAATCAAAAAAATTTGGATTTTTCTTTGTATTTTTAAGTTAGGGTAGGGTTTTGTAACAGTTCTCTATGTTCGGACCTACGCCCACTGTGTTTGGGACCGTATCTTATCCTATCCCTCGAAATCACTTAAATTTCTTTGTAAAAACAATACTAACCTTCAGAAATTTCGAAAAATAGAGTAAGGAATGATCCCAGACCCAGTCAGCTTAGGTCCTGAACATGAAGAACTGTTTTAGAACCAGAAGAAAAATTTGTAAAAGATAATCCAAATTTTCTTGATTAGACGTATAAACTTTGATCGGACTTATAAATGGCGATTGGATGTATATTGTTTAATAGAGCCTATAAATTTATTAAAAATAAAAATTTTCAAAAAATTCTTATGCCAATATTTTTAGATATAAAAGGAATATTGTCATTTTATGAAGCAGGAAGATGTTGCGATGGTAATTTTCATGAATTTTTCTATCATATCTATCGCTAACCCCCCTCGCCCCCTTCGAGCCTTCGGGGTACAACACTAGGTAATGGATAACACATCAGTCCGGTCTACTAAAGATGCAGGTTCGCTCCCAGCCACCGAATAGTCGAAGGAGAGAAATAGCTATAACACAGCTTTGCTTTACTCTGGTTGAAAAAATACCAAACATTGCCATAGACAGATATTATTTTATTGAATAAAATATTATGTTTAAAATTACGTTTTGTCCCATTTTTATCTGGAAAAATATTGTGTTGTCCTAGATGTATTCTTGCGTTCGAAGTTTGAGCTAAATCAGCTATATAATTTTTGCAGTGTTTACAGACAGCATAATTGTTCACTAGCTCAAAATGATGCCAGACGGCTGAGGTTCTTGCTATAATATTTGATATTCTTTAATTTTATTTAGTGATACGGTCGAAATTAGATCTTATACGATCTTGTTCGGATCTCTTTCCCTATAACTATAACATGAAATCAGATTTCTTCCTTTTTGCCATTAAATTAAAGGTATAAATTAAAGGTATTTCTTCAAAAATAACGAAAACTGCTTAACGATATAAAATTTGAAATATAAAATTGTGTCTGATGATCCAATAATTTATTTTAACATACCTCCGCGGTGTCCAGAATTTTCATTGGCAGACCCTGTAACTAATACATTGATTTATTCAGTATAGAAATAAGAAAATTTAACGCAGAGATCTTAAGCCAAAATCTTCCTTTTTCCGCAAAATTTTCTTAAACTACAAGAATTATAAAAAAGTTTTCATAACGTCAAAAGTTCACAAAAATCCGCGAATCCTCATTTTTAATAGTAATTCTTATCGACCTATCGAAAAACCACAAAATGTGGAAAAATCTGAAAATCTGAACATATTAGAGACCTGATATTATGTAAGGAAAAATTAGAAATTTCACTCAAACTACTGTTTATATTTCATATTTTTGAGTTCACTTTTATACACAATTTTTTCAAATTATCAACCTTTTGTTCTATGATTTTATAAGATTTTTTATCAAACAAATATTTAATACTAGCGGCGGATGTCGCACTTCGGGCGAGCCGCTCCGCTAGCCAAAGACTTAATCAATACAAAAACTTAACAATAAAAAATAACTCATACCTAGAACATCCTATTGAATTCTTCCGCCAACCTAATCTATCTAGTACTGCAGATACATTTTATTATCATACAATGACAACTTTCCAACTTATCAACTTCAACTTTCAAGTATCAACTTTCCAACTATTCCATTTAATGGAATAATCAGATAGGAACCTGTCAGAGGGATGATTACATTCCGAACAATAAGTTTGACAATCGAATATTTAACGACTTAACTATTTTGGATATATTGTCCGCCATATCCTTGTTCATCATGTCCTTGACCGCCATATCCATGTACATATTCTTCTTCATTGTATCCTTGAACGCCATAACCTATAAATTGATTAGGATGAATTAGAGGATCTTGTCTACTTATACTTAGCCAAAGTCAATATTAATCAGCCAAAGTCACTATTAATTAATACTTACTCATATTCATATCAAAATCATGTACTTGTGGTTCAAATTCTTGTTCATTAATTGGATTTGCAGCTAAAATTATTAAAATCTATTGTTCAGATAAAAATCTTAACATTTAAACAACAAAGGAAAAATGTATCTCTAATTTATAAGGATCGGACAAATTATATCACTCTAAGAAATACTTCCATTCGATACTTTGAGAGTTATAGACTTTAATGGGTAGTGGAAATTAATTAGAATAGAATTTACTTTTAAAATGACTTACGCATATTCAGATCAAAATCATGTTTTTGTCTACGTCCGCCTGACGATCCAACCTTTTCCTTATCCTTCCTACTAGCACATTCCAGCATTACGGAAAAATTTAAGACAATTAATAAACGACTAACAAAATTAGTTAATTTCATCTAAAAATTTATAATTATTTTTATATGATTATATTGGATAAGTGCGTTTTCAATTTTGGAAGTAAGGAAGCAAATAGTAAGACTGTAATACCAAAATAGGCTACAAATACTAGAGCTCGGCACGGGACGGGACCCCGCACGGGATTTTACGGGATTCCGTCCCGGAATCCCGGGTTTTTCGCGGAAAACGGGATTACCGGGATTCCGGGATTTACGGGATTAATCCCGCGGGATCCCGTCCCGGTCGAACTTTTGAAACGTAATCCCGTTCCGGGATCCCGGGAATTTTTTTCAAATTTACGGGATTTTAGATTACTCCAGTAAACTGCCTGCGGAGCTGAAAAAGGAAGAAATCTGGCATCTTGGCCTTCCAAAATTCTTTAAATTTTCGCCTGCGGCGCTGAAAAAGGAAGGAATATTGTGACTTGCTCTTCAAAAATTCTCAATTATAATATAACTTTATAATATATATATTATAAAGTTAATAAACGATTTTTAGCGTTAAATTTTATGGATGAGTGCGATTTAGATTATCTAATTAGAAAGTGATTTGAAAAATCGGGAATTGGGATATGAAGGAATAGCGTGGGATATAGGGAATATAGGGTTAAAATCTCGAATTTACCTATATCTATTCTTATCCGTGAATTGTATATAACAGGAACTTGGAGAAGGAAATTAACAGTAAATCGAATATGTCATGGAATTACAAGGGATGTAAACCTTTTAAGCTTTTACCACTAATCCGGTTTTATTCACCGATATCCCTCCATGTTACTCAGAAATACATATAAGTAATCTCTACTATCCCAAAGATCCCCATACCCATATCCTTGCATATCTCCATTTCCCTTAATCGCTTCTAATCCTTCTACATCCCTCTATGTGGACTTATCTGACTCTCGCTATAATCCAGTTAATCCTAAATACCCTTTGATTCTAAATACCCCTTTGATCTACATACTTTTCCCTTTCATCGTCATAGACAAGAATTTTGGAAATTTTGAAAGGCCAAGAAGCCTTTTCTACCTTTCGAGCGACACAGGTGTGAATTGTAAGAATTTTGGAAGGAAAATTAGCTAGTTTTCTACTATTTTTTATAGCTGAACCTGATCGGATCCAGACCATTTGACAAGACATGGACCGGATTTTCCGGATAAAAATCTCGATAATGCGAGAAATCAAGATCACTCTTCATTAAACAAGCTCTCTGGTAATTGGTACAATATTCTCATCGTTGGAACAACTTCACCCGTTGTTGCAACATTCCCCATTGTTAAAATAACATGCCTGTGGTTGGAACAAACTTCCCTGTCATTGGAACTTCGTCCCACACTGTTGGAACAACCCTCTAGATTGTTGGAACTACCTTTCCTAATATTGAAACAACTTTCCCGTTGTTGTATCAACACCTTATTGCGGAAAACAAATAGAACTAACAACATCCTTCGCGCCAAAATTTATGCACAATAAAAGGGAAACAAAATATTTGTGGGTCTTTTGTCTGTGGGTATTTTGTCCTTGTGGGTCTTCTGTCTGTGGGTCTTTTGTCTGTGGATCTTCTGTCCTTGGGTCTTCTGTCTGTGGGTCTTCTGCTTCGACACGCCGTTACGGAATCCCGTGAATGCGATTTTGCCGACCTCTAACAAATACCCTTGTTATATTTCAAATATTTTCGTTTTGAAATAAATTTTAGGAATTTATTTATAAGTTATATAATTCTGAGGGTATCTCTCATGCATCTTACCACAATACATTACTATCAAATAGAATACTCTAAATAAGATTGAGTGTCTATAAATTTGTTGGCGTCTACTGTTTTGTTTAAATAAAACAATAACGTATTACCTCTAATTGAATTCCTGGAATTCTATTTTTCAAACACCTTTCAAAGATTCATTCTGTTAGAGAGAGGCATTAAATGGAGCGGGGCATTCATTAGAGGTAATACGATAGTTAAAAATTTTTTTCTAAATGTTTGCTTTTATGGAGAGGATTTAGGCAGCGAAAAATTATTACACGTCAATCATTCGACAGCCTACCGATTTGCTATCTACTCACACGTTCATCATTTTTAAGTAACGCCGGCTTATACGTTGACTTAGAGGACAAGTAAAAAATCAAGAGAATGCCAACATTCGTAAAGATTAATCTATTATTCGATTTTTTATAAATGATCAACTATATGTATGTATCAAAACTTTTAAAAACCTTTCCAATGCCGCAGGCGAAAATTTAGAGTTTTTATAAGCCCATGTCACTACATTTCTTTATATTTTAGCGCCTTAGGCGAAAATTTTGAGAATTTTGGAAGCCCAAGAAGCCAGAAGCCTAAAAAAAATAAAAAAAAACTCAATTTAAACTCAATCCCGGAACGGGATTGAGTTTAAAAATTTTGAACGGGACGGGATCCCGCGGGATTAATCCCGTAAATTAATCCCGCAAATCCTACAATGTTCGACTTGTTTCAGGAACGGCATTTACAGGTTGAGGTTACATCTCACAATTGAAAAATAAATTTTTAATAAATATTGATTTTTCGTGGGTGGGGTTGTGTCTTGGATAATTGTGAAAAAAATCTCTTGTACAACTCTAATAAAAATCAAAAATTTAAAGTGTTGTCAATAGAAGATGTGAAGAAACTACAACTCTTGGAGAGATAACAATAGAGAAAGGAACATATGTTTCTGCCGATTTATTCACTTTACATAGAGATAAAAAAATTTGGGGAGAAGATGCTGAAGAATTTAAACCAGAAAGATGGTTATTAAATGAGAATATAAATACACAAACAGAATATTATTATCCATTTGGAGGAGGACCTCGAATTTGTATTGGAATGCGGTTAGCAATGATGGAAGTTAAAATGGTTTTAGTTCATTTACTACGTTCATTTGAATTGGAGAGATGTTCTGAGACATTAGTGAGAGAATTAAAATGAAAATATAACTAAAAATTATTTTAGATAAAACCTAATTTGACTGGCCAAGGTGTTCTAAATTCGGGAAAGATTTTTGTAAAACTGAATTTGAGGAAATAAAGGTGAAGAACTATTTAAGACATTTGTACAATCTGACTCATTTCAAAATGATTTTTTTCATTAAAGATTAAATAAAATATATTATTTTAAAATTTCAAAGACATTTGAGTGGTGAGAGAGTCTAAGTGATATATTAATATAAAGCGTGCGTCAAATTAGCGCCCACTTTTGTTCTGACTATAACTTTTTTTCATTTTTAACGAAAATTGATAATTATTTTTTTCTGGATTCTTGACACTTTATGAAGATTGTTGGTACCAATTACAGAAAATTTGGTTCAATACTGAGAAAGAAAAACGAATGCGAAATTCTTAAAATTCACTAAAATTTTTTGCCAATTAGTTATCCATAGCATCGTTATGGATAACTAATTGGGCCAATAATTTAAATGGTACTTTATGGATATGTCACCCCCCCCTCCTATTTTGAGTCTCAGAGTTTTCCTTAAACGTAGAAAATGGTCAGAGATTATTTTCTTCTCCATGTCAATCATTTTTTTCTTCTTCAAGTATTTCGCTTGTTTATTTTGCCTTTTCACATATTTTGTACTTACGTTTCACTCATTTCGTTTCTACATTTACCTCATTTCACTTATTTTGCTTGAAGAAAGAAAAATGATTGACATGGAGAAGAAAATAATCTCTGACCATTTTCTACGTTTAAGGAAAACTCTGAGACTCAAAATAGGAGGGGGGGTGACATATCCATAAAGTACCATTTAAATATATAGTAGATAGAAAAGGAGATAATATGAGTGTATTTTAGAGTTTGGAGATATTGCTGTGAATGAGAAAAAATAATTATACAACAAAAACTTTTTATCTCAATACTGAAAGAATATCTAGACAAAAATCATAATATAAACATATGATTATGAAAATATCAACTTGATAATAATGGATGTGAAAAAATGTAAATAATTATGACAATAAATATCCTTCTAAAAATACTATGAAAGATTATACTATGAAAATTTCTTATAAAAATAGAAAAATAAAAACAAAGAATCTAATTTTTTACCAAAGTTGACATTTTTGTTCATTATTATTCATTTTACTTCCAGAAGGGCATTCAAATGCGTTTGCAAATGCTTGGAAATTACTAAGAGGCAAATTAACTCTTGCTTTTGGAAGAGCATGATTATCTGTTTTTGCATAATTATTTGCGTCTTCTTCTGTCATTACGGAACAATAAGTCTTTTAAATTTAAAATAAAATTTATATTTTCATTTTTTTTTACTTACAAATGCATTTCCAATGAAAAACATTTGTTCATCAGTAAATTTATTTAAAGAATTTTCTAAATTTTTAAATTTTCTTTGAGTAGTTGTAAATAATTTCCAAGCTCTATATGATGCCCGAATACCAGCATTGTCAGCTATATTTTCTGATAATGTAAAACGAGTATTTGGGCGTAATTTGTTGTTCTAAATAAAGTATTATTGGTAATTTTTGGTTATCTCCCATTATTTTCCTTTTTACCGAATTTGATCGTATGTAACTTTTTTGTGATCAAATCCGAATAAAACTCATATCATTCAAAAGCCCTCAATAAACGCTATCTTTTACCTAAATGGATAAATCAAGTCTGATCACTCATAAAAGAGTTACAAGTTAATAATTGTAAAAACAACGATTACCTTCACTTATCGACTTGTAACTTTTGCATGAGTGATTAGACATGATCCATTTACTTAGGTAAAAGGTAGCGCTTATCGAGGGTTTTGAATTCTATGAGATCCATTAGGATTGGATCAAGCATAAAAAAGTTATACCCGATCAAATTTGGTAAAAAGAAAATTTGTGGGAGATAACCAAAAGGTACCTTTTTATTTAATTTTAAAAGTTTAATTTTATGTAGAAAATTTTTTGAATTTTATTTTTATAAGTAGTTTACCGTTTGAACGATATTTTAAATTTAATTTAAGTTACTCAGGGAGTGTATTATTTTTAATGAAATTTCTTAAATTATTACCTCATAATTATTATATTGTTCGATAAAACATTCAAATCTTTCTTCCATCTTTTTGTGTGTTTCTTTATCTACATCTTTTTGATCAATTCTATCACCATTTTCATCAAAATGAAAACCAGAAGAATCAAATCCATGAGAAATTTCGTGACCTATCAAAGTTCCAATAGCCCCAAAATTTAAAGGCTCTGGAAATGTTGGATCAAACCATGGCGAGTGCATAATTCCATTATAAATAGCTAATGAATTAAATGCCCATTTATAATAACCATCAACAAAGAAAGATGCCTTAATAATTTTAAATTATAATTATAAAACAGTAATCTTTTAATCAGAAAAATTTTGTGCTTATTAACTACCTCTCTTTCGTTATTCGAAAGAATAATTAAGAATTGAATAGCTCAAATACCCCTTGTTTAATAAGTTTTTTTATTTGAAGCAAAAGAATGCATATTAACTCTAGGCCTTAGAATTGAGGATTTTTCCTCATCTTGTAGTTTATGGGTCGATGCGGATTATTCTTTAATACTGCAGTTTTGTTATCTTTTGAATATTAGGAGGATTTTTTATATTTCCTTATAGTTTATAGAATAAAATGTGATTTTTTTTCTCACGGCCCTCCAATATCCTCAAAATTAAGGCCACGCTGAAAATACTCATTAGGAAAAAATCAAAGATAATTGTGAAGTACAAAAACTTTTCATTTGACAAATATAACGCATCTGATAAATAAATTATTTATAAAGTTGAGATACCAAATAAGAGCCCTGTATTAACTGTACTTATTTATTTATTAGTGAATATTTATTAAAAAGTTAATTTATTTATTTAAATTTTACTTGATAATCAATTGTTGGCCATAAATAATAATTTCTCTCTAATTGTACAAACATCTCAATCCAAGGCATATTTTCATTAATTTTATATTTTTTATATAATTTATTTAAAAATATATTATCCTCAATTAATTTATAATATCCAATATTTTGTTTCATTTTTGATAATTTAATTTTTGCTTTATTTTTAGATTCATCTCCAATCCAATCAGCTTCATTAATTAATTGACCAAAACCTTGTTTAATAAAACTGAAAATAAAGTTTTTTTCATCTTATTTTAGAGCAACATTTAAATTTTTTGACAAAAAATTTGTCTGAATTTTTATAAAATCATAAGATAATATTAAAATATAATACATCCAAGTGTATCTTATAGTAAATTTTATAGGCTTTTAATCAAGTATTAAACAAAAATTGCAAAACTCCATTTGGGGTTTAAATTTTTAAATACAGTATATGCTCGATAAATACCCTGAATAATTATTTTTTCGTCCTTTCTCTGGAAGGGGTAATAATCGAGAGGAGTTGCTAAATTTGGGCTATATCTCAATGTATCGAGCAGGAAAGCGATTTATTTTTTGAGATTGTCTTAAAATGTTTCAAAATAATTAAAAATGACAAGGATTTTTTAATATTATTAAAATTTGTGTGGGAAAAATTGAGGGTGCTTATTAAAGAGGTTAATTATTTGAGAAAGAGTAATTATTCGAGCATTTACGGTAGCTGATTTTCCTTTGTTTTAAAATTTTCAGACCTGCCTTTGTAAAAGCTCGGTTCTTTGCCTATTTTTATGGCAAGGATTATTTATAATTTTTGTAAAGTTTCCCAATTCAACTACATATTTAAATCAAAAAATAATTTCTACCTAAAAATATTTTCCACTTGTCCAATAATTTTTTTATCAACAAAATTCTCTACATATAATTTATCAAGCCAATGTTTAAAATAAATTCTAACAAAATTTCTCATACATCCAATTTCATCTTTTTTATAAGAATTTAATAAATTAGAAAATCTAGAATCTAATTCATATAAACTTCTCCAAATTAATGCCCAATCCAAATAATCAGATAAAACTTTTCCGCCATCTTCATTTTGTGCCCATTCAATTATTAAACGATATTCTTTTAAGATATCATTTCCTAATATTAATATTTTTGTTTTTTCATTAATTAAAGGATTTCCTTCACTAAAAGGAGAACTAAAAATTAATTAAATAATTATTTTACCTAGCAATTTCATTTAAAATTTTGACAAAATCAAAAGAAATACTTGAAGGTAAATATAAAGAAGATAATTCTCCTAATTCTATATACAATTCTGGTTCATCCCAATTAGAAAATCTTTCAAAAGTACTACTACTTAATGCTTTTGACATTTTCTGTTCCACAAGAATTAAATTTTTGACACGTCTTTCAATATTTACTTTAAAAATAAATAAATATTTTGTTTAGATTTATTTTTTGAATTCATTTTAAGTTAGTTTTCATGCCTTATCTTCGCAATTTTACTTAAATCTCCAAGTTTAGGTAAATGTCAAGCATGCCAACCATATACTACAAATGCTTTCCATATAAAAGACTGGACTTGGAGATTATAAAAATTTTTTCGACTCAAGATAAATCTTAAAACCAAATATTTGTCGAGCAATAATCGAGATCTCGTAACGGAAAGCGAAATTTTTTAGTCCAATATGGCGAGAAAGCATAGAAATCTTCGATTAAGTACATTAAAAGCTTTGATCAACTTTCCAAATCACCACGGATATCAGGATATTTTCAGGATTAAAAAGTTATCAGAAGATTTGGAAGGTATCTGAGATTTTAGGAACGTCAGTGGGTATTGAAGGAAAAATGTGACTTTGATTTTATATTTTCCCTATACACAGAAATCTCATTCGTTGGTCTAATAGGATTTGCAAATCCTAGGAAATCCTAGGAGAATTCCTAGTATCCGAATAAAAATTTTTTACAATTAATTTCATCTTCATTTAATCCATTTTCCATAAATGCTGGAAGTTTATTATATATTTCCAAAGAATCATCAATCAAATAACGTAAAATTTTCTTTAATTTATTTTCAAAATTTAATTTTTCATTTTCCTTCCATAAATAAAGTGAAAATGTTGATTTTGGTTGTAACATAAACATACCTTTTTTTAATAAATAAAAATATTCTTGTAAATAAAATAAAACTTTTTTCTAAAGTTTCTTTTCTAACATCCCAAGTAGTTTCAAACTCAAAGAATGGCACAAATGGAAATGCCTTTAATAATATTGTTATGTATTATGTATTAGGCTGTACAGCATCTTATTATTAGGCTGTATTAATTATTATTAGGGCTGGGAAAAACATGCAAATGCATGTTTTGTATGCGGATAAGCCTTGATGAGTGAAGCTCATAAATGGTGCTTATACATTAGGACGAGCACTTTAGCACCCGATTTTTAATGCATCTTTTGCATATTTCGCCCTATTGAGTATATTTGCATATCGTTGGATATTTTGGGAAATTTTGCATATTTTGGTGCATATTTTGGGGATTTTCCGGTGCATATATGCGTATATTTGGCGGTTTGAGCGCATATTTTTCCCAGCCTTAATTGTTATTTAAACAATTTTTTAATTTTTACTTTCATAAACCATTCTGTTTCAAATTTTCTTAATCTTCCAACAGCTCCACTACTACCAATTATTTTTTCAATAAATTCAAGTAAAGGTTGACTTTTAATTCCTTCACGACTTTGTTTATTTAAACAAGAATCATAAAATTGAAACATTTGTTTAAATAACGAATTATCTAGTTTATTTTTTTCTTTTCGTAATTCTTTATTATTTAATAAACCTGAAAAAATTTATGGGTATAGTTCGAAGTATATCTTTTTTTTAAATCAGCTCTTTTTATGAAAAAGAGCCCATAATAAAATAAAATAGAACCTCGCTTTAGTGTATGTTAATATTTATACATTATATTGAGGTCTACACTATATAGGATTTTTATTCATACAATAGTAGTGGGTTTTAGAAAAAAAGATCTATTTATTTAAAAAATAAACCAAAACCATTGTGTTAGTTAAAGCGTATTACTTGCTTTTACTTAAATATCTTTTAATAATTTTCAAAAGAATTTTTTCAACAGAACCATAGTGACCAACGACATAAGTTGTACATATTATTGGGGATACACTACAGCGAGGTCCGAGTGCAAATAAACTAACTTATAACTTCTCTTTCACTCTTATCCCATAAAATATTAAATTGACTTTTTCTTATATACCCTTCGGGTAGATTACTAGTATCTTTAACAAATCCATAACAAACATAATCATAAAAATCATCACAAGGATCTAGTAAAGTATTTAGAGAACAATTAAGTGAAGTACATCCCCACAAATTATCTAAAATTTAAATAAATTTTTAATTACCGTATCAATTAATAAAAATAAATATTGACATTTCCATAAAGCATTGAGTTTATTGTGCCCATGCTTACAGAAAGTGTAGAAATGTTAAAAATTTTCCATCTTCGGGTTTGTTGGCGATAAAGCCAAAAAAAACTCTGTTACATGTCCATAATGTCTCTATTCCATCTCACATTAAATGATCTTTCCTAAGCATGAACACAATATATTTTTATTAAAATTATATACTTGATTTGTCTGGAGAATTTCTGTCAGAAGAAATTTCTGAATCAGCTGAAAATATTAAATTAAATTAACCACATTATTAAATTTTTTAAAACTGAAAATGATTTTTCGATTTTCTATCTTGGAGATTATTTTAGATGGATGAGAAGGAGGCGAACTAAAGGCTATCTAGAGGGGAATTGTTCTAGTGAGAGAATCTTTAAGAAGCATATTTTTATCTTCGACATTGGGGATTTATAAAAATAATTTGATAATAATTTTTGCTTTTAAAAAATGTCTGTATGGCTGTAATATACATATTACATAATACAAATTAAAACAAGAAAATAATAAATCTCTAATTATTTACCCATAACGGAGGGAATAGGTCCGCCTGCAATGCTTTTAGTTTTTGAATAAATTACTGACAAAACAATGTTTACCAAAAATAAAATATTTAAATAAAATAATATTGTTTTAGGAGACATTGGGAAATCTCTTATTTTTAAAATTAATAAGGTGCGGAAATAAACATTTTTTTAATTTTAAAGGGGAAATAAATGATTGTCGGACAGAAAAGGGCAAAAAAATTTTTTGATGTTTTATATTATCGGCTGATTTTTATCGGAAAGATTAAGAAATATAAAGTGCATTTATAACAATGAGTTAATGATAAATCAAGCTAAATCGAAAACATAGAATTCTGATTTCGAATTTTTGAAAAATAAAAGAAAGTTCGTATAAAGAAGTCCTCAATAGGATGGGAGAGGAGCAAAAATTTTTTTACAAATATGAAGAATCATTTTTAGCTATCAGGTGTGATCTGGTTACATAAGTATGGTTATAAAATATAGAAGACTCAACATTAACACTGAAATTTAGGGAGTCTGTTTAATAGAAGGTTCGGTCAAATAGAGGGAGTTGTTTATTTTTCAACCTTCCTCTAGAGAGTCGGTTTATTAAAAGAGGTCGGTCTAATAGAGAGAGTTTTTTTAAAAGCAGTAATTGCGCACCATTTATGTAAAAAAGAGATATTTTTACCTGCTCCGATTTTTTCTTTTTTAATCTTCATTTTTGATTTGTTTTCGTAATCATTTTCTAAATAATAGATAAATTGTTTGCATGTTCCACAAGTTAAACGACATTCTTTTCTCATAAAATCTCCCCATATTTTGTCATTACAGCGTTCTTTGAATTTTGGACATTCAGAAATACCGCTTGGACCAATATTGTCAGAACATAAATTTATTTTGAATAGATCGCATGAATCACATGTTCTATAAAAAATTACATAGAAACTTGCCGTTTAAAAATTTAATATTGTAAGGAAGAGATCAAGCTGGCTAGCATTTAAAATGCTCACTTAAACTGCTCACTAGCAGCATCCCGGTGGCTCTGTCGGTAGAGTACCTTTACGCGTTGAGCAAAAGCGCCTAGCAATAACTGCCTGTAGGTCACAGGATAGAAGCCTGCCCTGAATTAAACTTTTACCTCGCTCTTACTATATCTTACAATTATCATACATTACCATTCATTACTGCTATCCGCAATTGATAATTTTATAATTAAAAAAAAATAAAAATGTTAAATGACATTCCAGAGAGTGTCAACTCCATATAAGTTTAGGATAAACCAACTCTTAAAAATTTACCTTGGACATTCTTTAGACATTAGATCTTTATAAAGTGGGCGATCACAAAGATATTTTAACATTGGACAGTCTGACGGCCTCCCGGGAATATTTTTATCAGCACATTCTTGACCGTAACTGGTAGTAAATATAAAATAAAAAATAAAATTTGTAAATATTTTTATAAAATTATTTGGATAAATTTTGGGCATTTTTTTATTATATTTGCAAAAATAATATTTATATAAAATATAATTGTCTTATAGAGATGTACAATTTTATTATATTTAACCAGCATTTGATCAAATATACGCTTTATGGGACTAAAAGCTATTGTTTTCTTTTTATTTTTGTTAAGAATAATACATCAATAATAATTTTAAAAATCTACTAGGTCTTCATTGTGTAAAACTTCACTTTATTCCCTCCAAATCCAACAATATCCACCTTAATCCCGCCAAATTCCCCATTATCGCCCTAAGAAACATGCTATCTAAATCTAAACTCTTAATAAGTATTAATTTTTTCTTAAAATGTAATGCAACGATCTTGCATTGAAAAAGCTCTTGCAGTAAACATTGAGGGTATACCTCCAACGAGCACTGAAAATAAAGTCAATGGAACAATCATATTGGAACTAGTGTTCGAAATTTGAAAAATGTCGGATCCGGTTTCCAGATTTTTAATTTCATTTTTATCCTTTTTTTATTTCATTTTTTTTATTTTTTATTATATAACCTACCGTAAATAATAGTTATTTAACAAAAAATTTAGAAATTTGAAACTAACTGCGAAATAACGCAAATTGTCTAACCAATTAAATCTTAAATAGGCAATTACTCTATCCAATCAAAGCCTCATTCCAATTAAAATTTAAAAATATTTTGATTATAATTATTTTTTTATTGTATACATTTACATTTTTTCGTACGTTTTAGTACATTTTCATTTATTTTGACGACATTTTTTTAAAGATTTTTATTGTATTTTGATGTAAATTCTCATTTCACATTTAGTTAAATATAAGCATTATTTTATTTTTCTTAATTATAAAAAGTGCAATATAGGTATGTAGTTATTATCAAGCGTAATTATTTAAGTATCTCGGCAAGTTTAAAATAGCACATGGCAACATTAAAAATCTATTGGAAATTTTCCAGTTAAAATTAAAAATTATAATAACTATGATACAATTCTTATAAAAAAAGTAAAAAATATTGGTACTTTATGGATATACACCCCTTCCCAAATTTTGAGTCTCATTTTTCCAAAAGTTGTAATAATGGTCAGCCTTTTTCCTATCTCAATTTCTCTACATTTCCATTTTTCCTCCGGTGAAAATTTTGAGAATTTTGCAAGTCAAAAGCATTAAATTTAACACTAAAAATCATATTTTTATCGTAACCCAAAGAAAACACCATAAAAATCGAAATTTTGTAAGTAAACTTTATTAGATAGTGCAAAAGATTTGCTGCAAAATTATTTGGAATTGAAATTTTTGATAAAATATCGAAAATTACAACGGAAAACGGAAATTTTCGAAGAAATGTCAAAAAATGTTTTTAGCTGTTACTACTGTTATTAAAATTTCTAAAATATTTACTGTATTTTGTCAAAAAATTTACATTCAATTATATGGTAAATACAATTTTCTTGATGCTGTAATTAATCCGTACATTCTATCGTATACTTTTATCATTATAAAATACATATTTCTAATATTTTCTTTTTAAGATTATTAAATATGTACCTGTTAATTATTAAGAAAATGTATTTGTTTAATTATTTACGTCTGGCAGTTTAACATGCATAAGTATTTAAGTAGCAACATTAATAAATCTAACCAAAAATTTTAGGTTACTGTTAATTTTAATGATTTCAAAAATTAATTAATAGCAAGAACTTAAATACTCTAAAAATACACTAATAATAATTAAATTTAATTATTACAAAGCATTTCTGTCCTTTTGATAAAAGGCCAGAAATATTAAATTGAATTTAATGGACTTTTATTTTTTCCACCAATCTGACTATGAACGTCTTTACAATTGTAGTATTTACAATGTTGACCAAGTTCCTTTGGATAAACGTCAGCATAAAAAGCTTGGAATTTTTATCATTATTTTATCCGCAATATATATGGTTAGTTTTCAAGTCTCAAATTATGTACTCTAGTCTATAATTATGTATAAAATTTCTGTGATTATTAGGCCTCTATTAGAGGTATCTATTGGACTAATTTTAAATAGCTACTTAATTTTGTTCTATGAGATTGTCATTCTCTTAAAAGTAAATTTAAATTATTATTATATAGACACTCTATATCCCTTGTATGTTTTCAATTGCGAAACGAATGGGAAAAAGTAACTGTTATAAAATTATGTTCTTTATTGGAGTTATTGATATGGCAACAATTTTATTTGCTGGATTCTTAACTGGATATATGGGGTATTTCGGATTTGTTTTCTGTACTTCGCCAACATTTATGTATTTTTCTGGGGCCTATATATTTTGTTTGTTTTTTAATAATTACCTAAATTATATATTCCAAAATTATCAGTTTGCTGGACGTCAGAAACTTCACTGGAAGTAATTTTAGCTATTAATCGTTGCATTGAACTATTGTCTACTCAACTCGCAATTAAAATTTTTAATGGTAGAAAAAATAAAATAAACTAGCCTTACTTTTTATCAAAATTTAAGGCAAAAAAATGTTTTTTTGGATAGGCATTCCAATAATATATGGTCTAAATATAATTACATGGTCAAGGCCAAATGTATTTACCGGCATCTACTTTGGTTGGTTCTTCAATCCGCACATTGGATATATTGATAATGTTGATCAAGTATTTGTTTAAATTTTGTTTAAACCCGAAACTTATGGGTTCGATCGGGGTTTTTGCCAAAAAATAGTCGGGGTTGGGGTCGGGGTTTTGCCGGCATGGGGGTGGTCGGCTTTGTTTGGGTAGAGGTTAGGGTTTTTCAAAAATTCATCGCGGGTCGGGTCTAGGTTTCGGGGGACAGCGTATTACACTAGTTCCAAATAATTAATTTATTAAAAGGAATATGAGAACACTTTTCATACAGTCCACAATATATCAGTCATAATTATTCTTACAATAACATACTTAGCATTTTGTATAATTTTTGTACTAAAATCTAAACAAGGAGGACAACATTCCAATCAACAAAGCTATTCTGAACTAATGGTTTTTTAATCTAAATATTGTTATAACCCTTAAATTTAAGATTTTTATTCAAATCTTTTTGATTAGCTTATCTAATATTCTTGGCGCTTCCATCTATGTTTATATGCAATATATCGACTCGGATGAAGTTCTTATTATACTTGGTCAATTTTTTTGGTTGAATGCACACGGTCAAAAATATTTTTATATTATTTACATAGTATGAATGAAATTAGACTTTTTCCAAGAGATTCATCGCTAGCAAAATTTCATCTCCTCGCAAAATTAGAAAAAGCACTGTCCAAAAAATTAAAAAAAAATACGGTAGGAAAGTTTCTGGGAAAATTTTTTAAAAGTATTAAGGCTAGTTTCAATGACTGCTCACTTAAGAAAAGGTGGCAGAACAAAATCAGTAGACATTTTTATAAACGAGACATGTCTGATTTATCAAAAGGACAGATAGTGGACCTCTAAATCTCCTTTTTCTTATACCTTTGTTAGGAAATCCCAACACACTTCTTCCGAAATGATCTGGCTGTTATTTTCGAAACGGTCCAAATTCCTTGATTTTCATGAAACCTTCCTTTTGCCGCTTGCGAAAATTTTAAAAAATTTGAAGGCAAATGAGCCAGATTTCTCCTGTTTTTGCATGAAAATTACGTAAAAATCTTAAAAATCCGCAATCAGCAACCCGCAATTTTTATTTTAAAATCCGAAAAACACACCCAATCACACGCAATCAAAAACAAAAACACACGCAATCAAACACACAATACGCAATTGCATCCACACCTGCTTTTTCTCTTTTAATCTTATAAAAAAATCAAATTATTTCAAATATTAAATAATAGATATAACAAAGCAATAATCTAAAACATTACTTCAGGAATCCCTCCAATTATTTACTTAACAATGAACAAAACAATTCGACGTGATTGTTTTAAAATGATAAAAGCTTGTGTTAATTTTACTGTACAATGCTTCAAAAATCTGCACTCAAATGCTGTCCAACCATTAATTCATAAAATAAATTTTATACTGGAATATAATCAAGTGACGCATGTAACACATGCAACACATATAGCGCGCCCAAATCAACAAATGTATCCTAATTGAATATACTAATACAAACTAAAATCCTTCGAATTTTCATGAGAACATACTTTAACTAAACTCCTAATGATAATTGTATAAAATGAGTTATTAAATGAGACTTATGTATATAAAAATAGGTTTCAGATAAAAACAATCAGAATTAGACTATTTATTAATAGTTCTGAAAATTGCTCGGATATCCGTAGCCAAACCGAAAAATCCTCCGTCTATGGATTCTTTCACGGTGGGCTGTTGAGGCGGCCAGGGGTCGACAAAGTAGACGAGTGATCTGACACACAAAAATTATCGCAGTACGAAATAAAATAGAAGGCTAAGATTGTAGATATAGAGCAAATATCAAAAGAGAGATTCTAACAAAGGATCAATTTATTCTAATTATTTTGCTTCAGAAAATATTAAAATTAGTTTTTGAAAAAATACTATATAATTTTTCAAAATTTTTTGAAAAATTTTTGTAAAAATTGCTTAAGGAGAATATTTTTTTAAAAAACTTTTTACAAAAATTTTTCAAAAAGATTTTGAAAATTTATATAGTATTTTTCGAAAAATATTATTATAAACAAAATATAGGTATATTATAAAAAAATATTTTAGAATAAAAATATATGAGTTAAGGGTTTTTGTTTTATATAGGGTTTGCTTTTATCGTGGTTAGTTCCGAATCAACTCGAGATCAATAAAATCTGTGTAGGAGTAAGATTTACCGACTGATACAGAAATTATACACAGAAAAAAGCGAGCCCAATAAAATTTACTGATAAGTAATAATTTTTATGTAGATAAATTTTTGAGGTATTAGAAAAAAATAGTAAAAAGATGCGCGAGAAAAAGACACAAAAATAATAATGTTACAAATGTAAAGCATATAGCTATTAATTTCCTAAGGCTGTGCAGTAGGCGGCGTGGTGTAATGGTTAACACATCAGTCCGGTCTACTGAAGATGCTGGTTCGCTCCCATCCGCCAAATAACCTTTTGCACTAGCTAAAAGAGAGAAATAGCTATAGCCCAGCTGCCTCAAATAATAATTGTGCTAAAATTATTACAAGGTCTTATTAGTATATTATTTCAGTTATATAGAATAAATTTTATAGTAATGTGATAAAAAAGAGGTATTAATGAAAGGAATTAATACACAAAGATACGAGACTGAGGCCGTAAAATAGTGAGGTCCTGACATCAACGTCGTTCTATTATATTTTTAATCAATTTTTTCCAAAAATTTTTTCACGAAATTTGAACAATTATTGGTTACACCCATTGAATTACATTTAATTTGATCCGAAAGCATTTGCCGCAAAATATATTCATTCTCAATAGAAGCATTAATTAAACGAAAACATTCATCCAATCTTTGAGCACCTTCGGTCAAACCTAATCTTCGTTGATTATATCGAAGTAAAATTTTTGTGTATTCAATGGATTCGTTTATAAGTAATTCTTTTCCTTCAGGAGACAAGCCTGTACCATCTTTCAAAATAATTAAATTAAAATTTTAAAAAGTTGAAATAGGCAGTTGAACGAGGGTGTTTTTAGGCGTTTATAAATTTTCCAAGTTAATATCTAGATAAGTAAAATTGTGGATATATTTCTCCACATGATTAGAGTATTTCGAAAATATTTAGTGAATCTGATATCGATCAGTTAGCCTTTTATAGCTCAATATTAGTTAAGGGATTAGGATGGATATGGAGGATTAGCCGGGGGATGGGTGGATATGTTTGGATCGAGAGTATTTTCCGTAACTAAAATTAATGCAGTTAAAGCCGTAGAGAGTTTGAGAATTTAGGTAGGCCAAGGAGTCATACCGTATTTTTCCCAATAGAAGCGCATGCGCTTCTATTTTTCAACCTCCTCGTAGACTGCGCTTCTATTGGGACGTGCGCTTCAAATGGGACGTGCGCTTGTATTTTTCAACTCATATGCGAATTAATTTTTATAACATTATAGAAATTTAGAACAAATATTAAATCTCTATAGAATTATCAATTTCAATTCCGTTTTCATTATCTTCATTAAGATCTATTTCTACCTAACTTTCTGAAATTTCTTTATCCACTCAAGCTTGATATAATAAAGCCTGGTCATCTGGTCTAAAACAATGTATTTCATCATTTTCAGAACCGTAACTTGGAATTCCAATTCCACAAACCCAAAAGAGCTTTTTGCAACATTTTCTTTTGAAATCACATCTTATGATTCAACTATCCATCCCAAATTAAATTTCATGGTGGTGGACACAAATAAACAAGCGTTGTGAGAACAATGATTGCCCTATAATTGCTCTCAAATATTCGATTGTGAGAGCATCATCCATCCAGCTTTTTCCACTTCATCTCCTAGGCAAGATCGAAATAAATTTTTCCAAAATTATAACTCAAAAACCTTAAATCTTTCGACAAGAGAGGGATCAGGTCGTTTAGTACAAAGGGAAGATTCCGAACCGGAATTAGAATCCATTTTTTATAAAAAAGTGTAAATTCTTAATAACAAATAAATGTAAATGAATAATACTTGTTTAAAATAGTAACAATTTAACAGAATAATTGCTCAAATAAGTATTTCATAGGGTGCGCTTATAATAGGACTTGCGCTTCTAATGGGACCTGCGCTTGTATTTTTCAACCTCCTCGTAGACTGCGCTTCTATTGGGACGTGCGCTTCAAATGGGACGTGCGCTTCTATTGGGAAAAATACGGTATTTCTTCATTTTGGCGCCAAAAGAACAAATTTTTGAAAAATATCAAAAATTGAAATATCCCCAAAAAGTCGAAATCGAAAATCTTATGAAAAAACTTCGAAAATTTAAATTGGAATTATAAATCCTTTTTAATTTGTGTTTTAGAATAACAAAATTATGGTCAAAAACTGATTGAATAGTAAAGTACTATGATGTTATAATTTAACTAAAGTGTTTACGTGAGTTAGTAAAAATAATTGCCACCAACAAAGCATATTCAACGTTTGCTAATGTAGCACGTTTAAAATGAGCGACAGATTTTGTAAATGAATAATCTGCCCATTTAATTATCCTAAAAAGTAAATAAATATTTTTAATAATTTAAGACAAAAAGTTTTTTAATTTTTTGAATAAAATTTACTTATCATCATGTAAAAATGCATTATTCTTCGCAATACCAAGAGCAGGCATAACATTATCTTTACGTGTCCAAGTTTCAGAGCCTAATTCCCAAGCTAGGTAGCTGCTTGTAAATGCAGTAAACAAATAAGAAATATGCCTTAGATGTTTAATCTATTTAAAAAAATAAAGTTTTGAAAGTTCAAAAAGTGGTAGGTCAAATTGCGAAGAATTTTTCTGCAGTTTCGAACAAGATTTCTTCAAGAAGATTTCTACAGTTTCGATTTCCGTCGATTTACTCATTTAGGTCGTTACAGGACAGAACCCTTTCAAGAATTAGTGGTATAACGAGCTCTCCAAATTCAATTACTTGCTCAAAATTCAAAATACCACCAAGGGAGGATAATTTTTTCTTTTAAACTATTCTGAGCGAGCATAATATTAAATTGCTCTTACAAGAAAATTAAAATAAATTTACATAAAACACCTGATCAGATAAAGTCAATTTTTCAAAAACAGGCATAGATTTAGCTATACCAAAACACAAAAGTCTGTCAACTAGAATAAATTTATAAAAACGATTATTTAACATTCCTTCATTCTGAAATGAAGATTCCCAACTTTTTAATTCGTCAAAAGATATAGGACATGGATTTGGCTTTAAATCAAAATTTTTATTAAAAATTAAATAAAAATTTACCGAAAAATGATCAACTAAACGAAAAATATTAAAATTAGATAAAATTATTTCTTCAAACAAAATTGGTCCGTGAAGAAATATATCATCCAAATCATTAAATGAATGCATAATACGTTTTTTGGCTTCAATAATTGGTAACATTAAATCTATTTGGTTTTGATCATTGATGGATATATCGACAATTAGATGATTTTGAAGCTTTAAAAGAATAAGTTTAGCAACATTTTGTAGGCAAAGAGTCAGAATTCTTTATTTTAAGAACATGAAAAAGTACGGTAATGTACTTTTTCCAGCTATATCTACTACTTCACTGGTAGATATAACTTGGAATTGTTAATATCTTCATGAAAATACATACATACCTACTATATAGGAATCAGTGATCTAGCCGACATACAAATGAAATTCAAGATTTCGGGAAATCGGGATCCCTATCAAAAACCGATTTTCGAGTATCCAGAATCGGATCGGCTAGATCTTTGGTAGGTATATAAAATTATTTAATAATGTGTTTGTTATAGACCCTTTAAGTGATATATACAAAAATATTAAAAAATAGAATAAATTAATTAAGATAAGAATAAATAGGCAAAGAGATAATACGGTGATGCTTATTGAAAATACTTCTACGATTTCTGATAAATACTTGGTATTTTTTGATATTACTCGGGATTTGTAATATCTCCATGAAATATTCGGCTCTATCTGAAAGGAGTGCCTGGTTGAGTTTTTTCCTTATTTCCTTAGAATGGTCTTTTTCCCTATCTTCTTTATGATCGGGTGAAGGCAAAACAAGGTTCAAATACGGAATAGACAAAAGCATGGTCTGGTCCGTGTCCTGTTATGGCCTGTATTTTATCGTTCCGTATGTTGGCAAGCCCGTGTTTTGTCGTTCCGTGTCATGCCGGATCCGTGTTTTAGCCTGTCACGATTAAGATCACCAATTTTTGTATTTTTTCGACACCATTTTAGGTAAAACAAACAGAATTTTTTTGAAAAATAGACATAAAATGAATGGGAATAAGGAAAAACTATTTCTCCTTATATAAACTCCTTTTTCTTAAGGAAATAAGGAAAAAACTCAACCAGGCATTCCTTTCAGATAGGGTCAAATATTCTCCATATATAGGTATATAAAATTCTTCTCGCGATAATAGTATAAAAAATTATGGAATAATTAAATTTACGTTAATTTCGTTCCATTGTTTTTCCATTTCTTTCCGGCATACATCTTGACGTACATATCCAACATCTAAAATAATTTTTTTATCAAAAATTATTTTTAAATATCTTAACAAACCCAATCTTTTCATTCCAACAGAAAGACATTTTTCAAGTCTACATTTTCTACATTTTGCCAAATTTGTTTTTGGTCTTTCATCTTTATTCCCTTCTGACAATTGTTCCGGCAAACATTTACAGTTATATTTGCATTTATTTTCGTTTGCAAGATAACGCCTTTTGAAAAAAATTTTTTAATTAAATCAACGCTTCTTAATATAAGCAAATGTGCTAATCAATGACTTAGGTGTGCAAACCATCTTCACCACTCAACCACCCGCTTGAATATGTTTCCTCGTACTCGTACTACCCCTATTTTTAGCCTGATACCTCGTACTTAATAATGTCTTTTTCTTAGTCGTAGTCTTAGTTCGTACCAGTTCGAGTACGAATGTTGGTACGAGAATCCAAGCACTGGTTATCAACACGGTAACTCGATATGAGATCTTTTATAGGAGCATACAAGGGGATATCTTCCGCCTTCCGTAAAACTGCGAAAGAGCTGGTGTACAAGTTTTGTGGTTGTATTAAGAAAAATTTAAACAAATACAATACCTGAAAAAAGCTCCGCAGGCTCTGCATGTACGAACTCCATAATGAAAATAAACATTTTCTTTTGCCTCACAAACTTTGCATTGTTTAATTACGTTTATTTGCATTTTTTAAATAGAAATATTCTAATTTTTAAACAATAAAAAAGGCTCGGATGAGGACATATTTTGGATTTACATTACTTACAAATCGACCCACGTACTTACGAAATTGTATACTTATAAATGGACATTTTGGTATAAAAATTAGATAGCCACGTACAGTATTCGGTATTTATATGTATTAAGTACCATCAAAATCTCCCATTATCCCTCGAAATCTAACGATATCCCGCTAAACACTCTGATACTTTCAAAATCAACTTAATCCACAGATCCCTAAATTAACTTCTTATCCTTACAAATTATATCCCTATAAATTATAAATATACGATAAATTTCTATCGTCAAAGGTATTTTTCGGTATTATTGTATGGCATAAGGTACAGTATAAAATTCAGAACGCTAGTTAAAAGATATAAAATTAACAAGTCTATAAAATTTTAGAAAAGATGATTGGATTTAATTAATTTAGTTAACGGCGAAACATCCCTCACATCTTTGTAGAATTGAAAATTTTATTTAATAAACGAAATTTTATTTAAATTTAAAAAAATCAATTTATTTAAAACGGCTAACTAAACAAAAAATTTAAATGAAACGGAAATAATTTTTTATTATTTTAAAAATTTATTTTAGCCAACGTTGCAATAGACTCCCTTTCATGGGATTTTTTAGAATTTTTGGATAAATAAAAAATAAAATCTATAATCCGTATGCATGCCAACATGCTAATGGATTAATGCATAAACAAAACTAACTTACAAAAGCAATTAAATTTCACAATAATAATTACTTTAATGTCAACAAAAAATAATTAGTTTTTTAAAGTAATCTTTTGGATATCTTATTGAGAGGGCATTAACAACAAAATATTTATTTTAATAAAACGATAAATTAAGAGTATACATTCCAGAGATCAGTCTGGATCTTTCCTGGATCAAGGGTCCAGACCCAGCAATTTTTGATCGTCCTGGATTTTTTCTGGATCTGGATTTTTCAGAAATCCAGTCCATGTCAATAACCTAAATCCAGAGTCTAGATCCTAACGATTTTTATGTCTGGATTTCCTGGATTAAATTTGACCAAAATGTGACCCTGCGGTGCCAAAAATGGAAATATCTAACTTCTTGCCCTTTCAAATTTCACAAAACTTTTGCCTCCGGCGTTATAAATGAAAGAAATTTGGCTAAATGTTCGTATCTCGTCAGATACATCTAATTCAAAAGAAATATTGTCAACCAACTCTGATGAGGGTGGTTGAGAAGAAGTCAGGCTTACTTAGGTTTTTCAAAATTTTTGGAATCGTGGGTTTAAAAAGGGCTGGATATTTGCTAACCCCTCATATCATTTGTAGTAAAGTTAAATTAAAAATAATTCTGGTTTGATCAAGGCTGAGCGCAATCGATTTATTATATTTATTATGAAAAATAAGCTATTATAAGTTAACTTTCATAATAGAGTTTGGAAAATTTCAAAAAAAATTAAATGATGTTTTATTAATCTCGTGATAAAATAGCGAAATTACGACCAAATTACGAACAATTCCTATTTTTCTCAATTCAAAGTTGTGGAATTTGTCAAAATTTTTCATAACCCATTGCATAAACTTTAAAAATAATTCAAAAAACACAATGAAATTTCTCCCATTGTTACGTTTAATCCAAAATAAAAGAAATAAAGTTAATAATACGGATGGGACGAGACAAAAATAAAGTCGGATTGGGTCAGGTATTAAAATTTTTTCTAGTAGTGGGTCGATAAAGGCCGGGTATTGGATGATGACCAGTCCCATCCGTGATAGCAAAAGAATAATTAAAAATGGTATAAAATTGTGTAAAAAATAATAAAAAGTTAAATTAATTTTAAAAAACTAAAGAAAATAATATAAGAATGTTAGGAAAAGTTCTTAAAAACCCATACTCAAAATTGTTAAACATAAACAATCAGGTCTGGCGCAACTTTATTTTTTCATTAACAATAACCGTATAATGAAAATTGTTTAAAAAAATTTTTAAATGCTTCAAGGGATGATTTTAAATGAAGGATGTCTTCAATTTCGAACTCAAATTTCGAAACTACGTCTAAATTCTAAAAATAAAACCCCGATAATTTACAATTGCGCCAGCCCACAATTATCCAACTATTCATAAATAATTGAATCCTTTTCCCATAATTTTGTTTCTTTAAATTTAAAATAAAATTTTTCCCTCTTCTCAATGACGAATTGTACGATCAACAATATCTAAAAATTTTTTTGTCTGGCTGTAGTGATGAAAATCATCTATCATATTTTCTCGTACTTCCCAAGCCCTTTCAGAATAACTGGGGTCATATCCAGGATGAGGCAATATTTGATATAAAGCATTGTATATATGATTAGCAAGGTGCTGACGGTTAATCCATATACCAATTCCCAAATTTTGAACAATAGCTGCGGTGTATTCTTGTTCAGTATGGTAAGGAATACAAATTTGAGGAACTCCTGCATACATTGCCTATAAATATTTTATAAATATATGTAATATGGAATTTTATTAATAAAATTTGAATTTTTGAATTTTATCTAATTAATAAATAAATTTTGCTAAAGGATACACTTTATCTCATTTCCCAGAAAAAATCCACATTAGATGTTGTTATACCCATATCTCATAAAAAGTACGAAAAAAAGTTATCATTATTAAATAAAAAATTTTTTAATTTCTGTTGAAATTAATCTGCAATAGTAAAAATTTCAAATTTATTATTCATTAATAGAGAATGTAATTTTATTTTATTTACCTCGTTAACGCTATTTTGACCACAGTGATTGATAAACAATTTCATGTTCGGTTGGGCTGTTTTAATTTAAAGGATTTTAGTACAACAAAAATAGATTGTATATAGCATGGCTGGATAATTTGGAATTTTAAAAAGCGGAAAACGGAAAGCGGGTGAAAATAAAAAAAAGTTGAAAGAAAGCGGAAGACCCAAAAAAATTTAACTGTTCATTTATGAGTGACTAACATAATCTGAGTCCTATTTGAAGCCAACCTTCTTTTAAAAAATGGAATGTCGTGCACATAGAATGCTAACCAATAGAGGTTCGGTTTTATAATCTTCCGTTAAAGTTTATTCAATTTTTAGACTGTATTTGAAAAATGTATTCCTAGTTTATTCTAATTTGGGAGATACAAGGTAAATTACCGAGTATTTCTTGTTGATTTA